ATCTGCCATTTTGAGCACCCATGTTTCTACAGTAGCCCAGAAGGGACAAACCAAACACTGGCTGTAGATAGGACTTTTCAAGTTTTTTTGTGGCCACTGTAATTTCTCTGTGTTCTGGGGATGGGAGGGTTAAATAAGGGAGCTGCAATCTGCCTTTTTTTCGTCAGATTCAATGCATATGGTGTTATATCGCCTTGCTTACGGTATCGCGATGTATCGCGATATACCGAATTATACCCCTGTATCTCCATGTGTATCGTATCGGTACCAGATTCTTGCCAATTCACAGCCCTACAAGTAATCCAGGGTAACTTTGTATAATAATGTGTATTTTTCTTATTGTCTACAAATCCAATAAAAAGACTTTGTAGCATACATCTGATAAAGCTTATTCCTCTGTGCCATAGAGCTCCATTGGAAACTGTTAAAACATATCAGTGAGCCACACTGTTGCACTGGGAGACATTTTCCTCCATTACAGTCAACGTGGATGCTGTAATTTATTTTGAATCAATCACACATGAACCGTCCTGCTGCCGAATACTCCTCACTGTAGAGCTGTGCTATTATATCATATTGTACCAGGCAAGAATGTCAGCAATAATAAGAATCTGGCTTATCACGATATCAACAATGTAAGTTTCATTTTATATTGTATTTATATGCGTCATGATTACACACATGGCTGAAAGCAGCGGAGTTGTATGGAAGTGGTTTAAAAAACCTTCCAAGAGCGTAAAAAGTCAAACATCTAGCTAAATGGACTCCACTCATCATCATTATTTGTCCAATCATTAGTTATATCATGATACTCATATCATGACCCGAGGAGCACTGGATGTGTATTAATCCGCTGCTGAAAATAGTCCCCAACAAATAAACAATTTACTCTTGTTAAAGTAACGTTTGCTAGAAACTACAGTGCCCAGTTGTTTTAGGAAGTCTTTTCAAAATGAAACTTTACATACAACACCAGCATTATCTTTCACCCTTCACCCTTATTTCATACCACATGGGCAACAGGAAACATCCCCGAGCAGCTTGTCTACATATCAGCCTCTCACTTTGCCATTCCTCACCACAAACCACAATCCCACAATCACCCGGTCAGTGATGGCACCAGCTAGGCCGGAGGTGATGCTGGCTGAGTGTTGTGTGGTGCTGCTGGTTGTAGAGCGTCTTCTCGTATTACCTCTTCTCGGCTCCGAGGACAGTGACAGTGGAAACGTATAGCTGCTATATTCAGTTTCAGACATGCATTAGGGCAGCTTCAGTGCACACAGTGAGAGAGGAGCGAGTAGAAACATGCCTCTGCTGAGACTGAATAGATAGAAGTGCTGCTTGAATATAAGGATTTTATTTTACACTCTTGTATAAGAATTTAGAGAGAGAGACTACTGATTTTAAATGTACTACATTTAATAGAAAAGGTTTTTTGTGTGTGTAATAAGCACCACCGTGTGCTGCTCCAGGCTTTGGCATGCTTTGGTTGTATTTCGAGGTTGTTGACGGGGCGTCCCATCTGTCCCTGTGGTGTCGACCAGTTGAAGGTCTCTGACTCTCAGAGCCAAGCTCGTTTACCTATTGACTCGTCCCATTATCTCATTCAGAGAAAGAAAGTGGTCGTTTGTCGGATTAGATGCCTCCTTTGTGTTTGGTTAGTGGACTGGGCTCCATAATGTATCACAGGAGACTGGGTTATACTGTATTGGTCATTCATCTGTGGCTACAACAAATGATTATTTCCATTATCTATTAACATGTCTATCATTTTATCAATTAATCTCATAACCATACGTGTCTATTAGATATAAGATGTCAGTCACATTTTACCTAAGCCTAGGTTGATATCATGCCCAATAAGCAGTCCAGTACCCAGAGATCTTCAGTTTCTAGTCAAGACAAAGAAAAGCAGCAGCTGGATTTTTTTTACTTTTTCGACTTTTGAAAATTGTTGCAGATTAGTTTTCTGTCGATTGACAAATCCTCTCAGCTCGACATTTGCCCCATCGCTGCCTGAGCCGTGTAGTAAATCAGTTCTTAGCTTACAAATGTGAAGAATGTAGGTAGTAGTAGTAGTAGTAGTAGGTAATGTAACTGCAGACACATTTTAGATTACTTTGGTTTTGAATTCAATTGAATTATTAGAAGTATTTGATGCTGTTTTCTATATGAAAAAGCTTTTTGCCCAGTTGTTCTGCTTTCTTACATTTTTTTTTAGATATTTTGTTTCAGGAACAAATTCTAAAAACAAATATCTAAATTAATTTAAGGTTGACGGTCAGTGGTTTAAAGTGGTAAAGTGGTTTAATGGAGATTTAAGATCAATGCCATGGTATCACAGGGATTGTAAAGTATGCTTGAATACTACAGTAGTAGTAAAGGTAGTGACTGTGGCAAATCTATGGATTACGTGTATTAAAACCTTGAAAAACACATGGAATGTAGACTAATTATACGAGGTTAATGTGGGATTAACCAGTACAGAGTTCATTTGAACTGTAGTTAGTTCACAGTAGTTCTTTCAGACATTAAGAAAAAATCTTTAAGTCTGTGAAGGCCGACCATTTGATCATGTTGATTAAACTTGTTTAGGGACTATAAAACACTAATCATTGGCCGGGCTTTTCTTCGTTTCTCAACCAGAATAGTTATTAGCCTCATTAGCAGAGACATTTTTATTAAGCTGTCCATCCAACTAATGTAACAAAAGCCTTAAAAAGCCCCCATGTTGATTTTATTGGTAGGTGTTACATCTGTTTCCTTAAAGTCACAAACAGTTGGATACTATAAGACATGAAGTGTTTTTGAGGGTGGGAGGGTTTTACGCCATCACATCACAAGGGCCTATTGTTACTTTCTTACAGGGGTACATACAGCGTGCTGCTCGACCCCTGACAAAGAGAGAAGAGTCACATGTTGAGCAATCAGAGCTGTACAAGCGCTGTCATGGGTTTGCTTACAGTATGTGCAGGAGTGTTTTACAGGACCTACTATACAATAGGCTGTAGTACTTAGGGAGTCATTGAATAACATTTGTGTGTCATGAGCTTTTCTTGAGAAAAATAAGCCTTGAAAAATACTCTTAGTGGTGAGAATTGTCATATTAGACAACTATTCCTTTCTGTAACTACAGGTTGTTTTGGTATGTATCAGATTTAGTTTTTGTATTGTATATTTTAAAGCATACAATAAGGGCTTCAGCTAGCAGTTATTTTCATTATTCATCAACACTCTGATTATTTTTTATTGATTTATAAATTGTCATAAAATAGTTAAATCACAGTTTTCCAGATCTGAAAATGACAAAGATTGTCACATTTTAGGAGCTGGAACCAGCAAATATTGGGACAATGACTCACTGACTGATCAGAGTAGTTGTTCAAAAACAGTTCATGACTTTGTTTTGGTCTGCTAGACATTCGTCAGAGATAAGATGTTGTTGTGTGTTAATGAATGAGTTTATTTCATTCAGTCGTTATCCACATTACACTGGTTCATGTATAATGTTATAAAGTCCCAACACGATCCACAACACGTTGAATTTGGAGGTTTATTGTTGTCTTGAAAAACAACTTAAGGACCACTTACTACTGTAGCTGTCTTCCAGAGCTTTCAGCTGCATCTAGTGGCTTTCTTCGCCCAGTTAAGTAAGATGAATTAATCAAGAAATGTTACATGGGCTATCTCCCAAATCTATCAAAAGTGCTATCTCTTCCGCCATCACTGCACATACTTTACTTTACATACAAACATAATATTTACTTACCTACAGGGATATACTAAGTAATCTTTTGTAGTTATGTTGGTCTAAACAATTTCCTCTGTTATAATCTGTACTGATTTATTCTTTTGTGGGTGTGTGATAACAACAAAAACTAAAACTGATTTTAATTTAGGGAACTCAAAGACTAAAACAAAGATCAATATATGTTCCTGAGGGCTCTGGATTCATGTTTTTGAACTGTACAGAATAATAAGAATCTGTTTATAGCTGGTGAAAACCTCCTCATGTAAGAGAGAGATTCATTTTAGTGGTAAAATCACTGTCGATGGGTAAAACAACAGACACATTCTGACAGCAATGAAGCAAACCTCCAGATATTACTGTGTTCCTGTCTATCCATAATCCAGGTCCAGGTTTGTTCATGAAGTTTTATAGATGCATGCGATTAACAGCTGGCCGTGTGTCGTGTGCTTTGCCCTCCTCTTCTCAAAGCCGAACTACCTCCTCCTTACACAGCCATCGCCAGCCCAGACGCCAGCGGTGTGCCTGTCATCAACTGCCGCGTATGCCAGTCGCTCATCAACCTGGATGGGAAGCTGCATCAGCACGTGGTCAAGTGCACGGTCTGCAATGAAGCTACAGTAAGTGGAGGCCATCGCAGAGGCCGGTGAGGGCTTTATAAACGATTGGCGGTGTTGACATCACAGAGTCGTAGCAGTTCAAGCTGTCGAGTTGAGTAGAGACATTTATTTGAGCATGCTCATTGCTGCTCTCCTCTTGTGTTTCTTTATGATCAGTTCATGGTTCATCCCTTTGGTAATCACACATGCTTTTTTAGTGTGAAAGTCACATCCAGCTGTAGCTTTGTGCTTACTTCTGCAGCATTATTTTATCTGATAAAACATGAAATGAGTGATCAAGAGAGAAAACATTACCAGATGTTAATTTAGACATCTGCCACATTGATCAGTTAGTCCAGGGATAAGTGCTCCATATGACTTGATCGTGTGGCCTGTGTCTCTGTAACCGAAAGCTTTGATAGAGCTGTCAGTGCCGGGAGGGGAGAATGAATGGCTGTCATCAGAGACACTCGGGTGGGAAATGCCATTTCCACTGGCAGATGTTTGTGGTGCTCATACATCAACGATGCATCAATGATGATATTCTATCATACTGGATCAACAGTGCACAGTTTATAGTGTTTGGCTTTCAGTTGTTGCATCTTGTTTAAGCTCAGGTTCACCTAAAATAAATGTAAAGAGAGGCAAATCAGGCATCCTGTGATCAACTTCTCTGCTTAAATTAAACAATTCCTTTTATGAATGCTACTCAGATGACCTATAAAAAGGACATTTGAAGCTGATGAGTGGACTAATATGAATTTCATTTGGCGCTTTTTCCACCCTGTTTCTAAAAAGCTCTGCTGTGTTACAGCTAAAGTATTAAATCAGCTGCTCTCTTCTTTTTGGGTTTAGTGTTAAACTGATTGTTTCCAGTGAGCTGATTTTTATATGTTACCTTCCAGCCCATCAAGAACCCCCCAACTGGGAAGAAATATGTGAGATGTCCCTGTAACTGCCTGCTTATCTGTAAAGACACGTCCAGGAGAATAGGATGTCCTCGACCAAACTGGTAGGTAGCAGACAGTCAGGTTCATTCTGTTTTACACTCTTACTTCCCATTTTTTGTATGTTATTTCTTTTTCAAAGCCAAATTTAAGGCTCTGACAAAATGTTTAAACTTTTATAAGACAAGAAATGCGCTTTCTATCGTTTTATGTCATCAAAAAGTTTCAAAATCCTGTCTCGAGTAGGTCGTAATCATAAGCTTGTCCTACTCTTTGTTCCCCCCGACAGTAGACGCATTATCAACCTGAGCCCGGTGATGGTAATCCCCGAGGAGCAACCCGCCCAGCCGGCACTGCCCATCCAACCTGAGGGGTTGAGGGTGGTCTGCGGTCACTGTGGAAACACCTTCCTAGTACGTAAACCCGCCAAGAAAACCAATCTGACCAATCACAGAGTTGCTCATGCAGAATTGTGTTGCTGTGCTGTTGTTGGTACGTGCATATTAATAATCTTGAGAGCCAAACTACAGTGTGTTCTTCGGTATCTGGTGATGGAAGTAGAGGATTTTCTACAAGTTGTTCTGGGTGGTATAGTTCGTTGTACTGGAGCTAATGACATATTGTTCTCCTTTTGATCTTTCATCCTTGTTGAAATGAAAACCTCCATCCAGTTCCAGATACAAGATATGTTTTACAAGTGGCTGGAATACATTTGCTGCATGTTTTCCTTTCCTTGCCTGGCTCATTAAAAAGTCCCACTTGATTGCAGTGTGGTTGCAGCCTTTTACAGATTCACCTGCAGCCTGTGTTAAGGATACTCTCAGTATTTTTTGACATGCAACATGCTCACCTTCATGGAGGTTTAAATCCTTTTTTTTTTATCATACTACATGAACCTGAGGTGTTGAGTCAGTATGACACCGACTCGCATGTCAAAATCAGCGGTATTGTCCTCTTAACGTGTGCACGTTGTTGCTTGCGGCGTCTGTAGGGCAGTGAGGACGCCAGGTCATCCCAGCCAATGTCTGGCCTCCCCAGCGATGGCTCTCCCCCAGCAGAACAACAGGTTTAGAAAGCTGGTTATACTGGTGGACATATTAACAACAGCCTAACCTGCTCCAGTTCAATCTGCGGCCTTATTTACACTGGTGATAATATGACTTTGTACGTATCTGGCTTTGAAGAGAGCTTCAGTTAAAGAGATCTGCAGATAAAATCAGCCTAAATCAAGATGGTTTGGCCTGAATTTGCTTTGGAAACAGCTTCTGTTGAATTTTTAATTCCTCCTCTGAAGCCAGATGTTAAAAGTCACATATTAAACTTGTGTCAATAGGATCTTTAATTCTGCTGATCTGTGAAACCTTTTTATAACACTGCTTTTTCTTAACATAAAGACACTAACTACTATATTATAAGAATAATTTTAGGTGATAATTTAACAAACCTTTTAGGATTTTCTCCAATAGTGAAATAATAGATATAGAAGTTACAAACCGATCATTTAAAATCAATCCCAGTCAGTATTGTGTTGATTTATCTAGAAGTACAGTAGTTGTAGTGTTTTGTTACAGTGTGCTAACAGTGCTTCTTCTTCTGTTTCCTCACAGTGGATGGAGCTTCGGTTTAACACACTAGCCAAGTGTCCCCACTGCAAAAAAATGTGAGTCTATCAATCCTCCATTTAACTCAAAGGTCACATTAAAACACACAGTTTACTCTCACACCTGATGTTCACTTACAGTTCACATTTAATTCTACTGCTGCTGTGAAATGTAAATATTATCTGCCTTAGGATTTATATTTCAGCCTTTAGATTATGTTTACAGTCAAAAATGTTGTGTTTTGATGATTTTTTCTTCCTGTTGCAGGCTGCCATTTGTGAATGTTTTAATTTCATCTCTGTGAAAATCATTCAGCAGAATCTTGAAACTTGCTTGAGTCCAGTGTATAATCCCCTCGTCAAATCTGAATTGATTTTTGTCAAAGTTACATTATTGTTGCCTGGTTTTACAGTTTAAGATTGATTTGAAATGTTTCTAGCAAATTGGCTCATAGCTATAATGTAACTTTTACAAATATTAATGCAGACTTGATCTTCACTGTGTCAGGAACTTTATTTTTATATTGTACAGAAATAAATGGAAGCCCGGATGTGGTCTTTAATGGCCTGAATAAACTACAGCCTTACTGGGGTTACTGAGTAGGTGTAAGCCATAAACTATAAAAAAACCTCATATGATGTCACTGTAGCTTTCTGAGAGGACTTGCTGCACCACAGAGTGTTGAATGGATATGACCTGTCAAATTAAGGTGAACATGTGCGAACATATCTAGCTTTAAAGCCAATATATTAATCTTACTCAAGCATTCATTTACCACAAAAGCATACTAAACATTAGAGGAAGCTGCATGTTTTAAAACACGTAATTCTTGTAGAAAAAAAGTCATTGACCACTTCTGCATATGAATCAAATCTCAACTACGTAGCTTTGTGGTTTGGTTTGATAGAACTTAGATGTAAACACTTTCATCTCTCTGGTTCTCGTTGCTAGAGAAGTTTTCAAGTGCTTACTTTATGGATAAATTCATTGTAGTCAGATGCTGGCTGAGCTTTGGAGGTCTGGACTTTGTAGTTCTTGGAAGGAGAGGGGAGGGGAGGCAACGGAGGCTAATCTAGACGTGTGACAGGAATTAGAGCCTGGCCTCAATACATGTAATGGTAATGGAAGGTCACAGGGTCGAGGGGTGGTGGGAGGGCATGGAAAGGTGTTTCTGAAAGTGATGATATCTACACCTCCACCAACATGCTGTCTTTGCCTGTATCTCTGACTCTCATCTTTGTGTCTGTCTCGCTCTGTGCCTCTTCTGCCATCTTTCCCAGTCTTTCTGCCTCTGTTTCTGGTTTTTCTCCCAGCCACTGTGAACTTATACGTCAACAAATGTATCGCTGCAGGGGTGAAACAACATCTGTCATAAAAGAACATAACTCCAAGTTAAAATGTTACATCGGAAACAAAGAAGTTTGTCTCCTCACCCAAAGCTAAACAAATAAATAAAACATGCCAAGTATTTTATGATAATCTACCCAGAGATGAAGTCCTTGAGTCATCATATAATGAGCAATAAAACCCACATTGCACTTGGTATTCCACCTAAACGACGTTACAAACAAAGCCTGTAGTCAATTAAACCGTTAAATTGGTTTCTAATGGTAGTGGTAGTAATCTTTGACTCTCCATTTCTATCTTTATCTTCCATCTTTTTCTTTCTATCCGTATTCCCCCCCCCCCCAAAAAAAATGTATAGAAGTCAGAACAGCGGTAGCTGAAGGAACACAGAGTCATGTGATTTTACCTAAATGTGTGGTTTTCAAACTGGGGTCTTGGGACCAGTGTGGGTCCTTGAAAGTGTTGTAATGGGTCCCCAGCAAAAGGGGGAATAGAATATTTAAACCTTTATGCCATTTATGCAAAATTGGAACAAAAAGGAAACAAATAAGGTTTTCCGTTTTGACTGTAATTTATAGTGATTCTAGTTTAGTGACTCTTCTAAAACTTTTCTTTACACCTAACAATGAGAATGTGCGTCTATTTGTGGGAAAAAGTTTGGGAAAATGCTATAAGGAACTGATTTTAGTATAGTAGCAACATCTCAGAGGAAATCCCCCAGTGTTGTTCCAGTCTATAATAATAATTCTTGTTTTGCAAGTTATGTTCAGGGCACCTCTGGCAGCTTAAATCTTTAAGGCCATCATTTGAAAAGAAGGTCTGCTCCATACATGGTCGCAGGTCAAATGAATGAGACGGTCAGGCGGTACAAATGTAAACACAGTGAGTCGAACAAAGCGGAACGTGAAAGCAGGAAGAGATTGTTTAAGAAGGAGTAGGCGAAGGTAAGAAATCAGGTGATCGGGCTCCCCTAAGCCATCTGAATACCAGTGATTCCTAAAGAATGCTTGAGTCCCGTCACATGAGAGGCATGTGAAAGCCGAGAGGGGGAGGAAAGGAAAGTAATAGTGAAGTAAAAAAAAAAAAACAACTGATGCCAGTCTGGTGCCTCGGGGCAGTTGACATGACATGAGTCTGAAGTCGTTGGGTGCTGCACATGTGACCAGCCTGTGGCGCTTTCGTGTGTAACTTATAAAGAGGAAGAGAGAGATTTTTGACTCACAGGACTGTTGTGATTTTGTGAATTTATACAGTGGTTTCACTGTTGTTTCTCTCAAAACAGGACAAACAAAACATAAAATATCTCCAATATCTTCTATATACTCTTATGTCTTTCTGCCCTGAAACCACAAACTAAGATTTTTTCTGTTTTTTGCTTCTTCTTAATCTCTTTCTGCAGATCCTCTGTTGGCAGTGCGCTCCCTAGAAGGCGCTGTTGTGCTTATATAACTATAGGAATGATCTGCATTTTCATTGGAGTGGGTTTAACAGTAAGTACTGTCTTTGTCTGGATTGTGTTGTTTCAAAGTAAGTAAGTAAGATTTACTTTTCAAAACAAAAGTTACAAAGTGCTTCACAATGAAAGCAGGGAATATCAAACTGGCCGTGTGGCGCTAAACACAAGAGCAACAACATAAAAGTGACAAAAGAGAAATAAAAAAAACAGCAGGAAAAGAAAGTGTAGATGAGGGAGTCTTGAGAAGTTTTTTTTACAGTCATGCAAGCAGCTCTGTGAGGCTGTACTTAAGCCCACTGGTGCTTTGGTGGTGGGCCGACCGATGGGAAGCCATTACCATCCTCATAGGCAACAGAGGCAGCCACTAGCTACATTGCCATGAGTGCATAATCCTACAGTACATCAAATACACTTTGGATCAGCATGGGACTGTAAACAACAGCCACATGTTGTTCGGTTTTTCACAGTATATCATAGTAACATATCATAGCAACATATCATAGTAACATATCATAGCAACATCTCATAACATGGTTTAATTGTACTAAAATCATAATCACTTTATATGATCTTATTAGATTATTCCTTAATATTTAGATTCAGGGTTATTGAGGTTGTTGCAGTTTGTTTGCATTTTTCTGATAAAGTGGATCACTGACTGATATTATTACTTATATATTATGAATTAACTTATGGATCCCTCAACCAGAGTAATTACCACTAGGGTTTACACCTGAAAGAGTAAAGTATTATTTTTTAAATGTCTCTCTGCAAGATCGACGTCTATGAAACCACCTTCTTGGTGTTAATTTCTCACCCGCCTTCTCTTCCTCTCCTCTGTGTTAACAGGTTGGTACTCGAGGCTTTGCCAGTCGTTATAACGCCACCTACGTATCTTGGGCATTCGCCTACCTGCTGGGCCTCATCTGTCTGATACGAGCCTGCTACTGGGGCGCTATCAAAGTCAGCTACCCGGAGAACAGCTTCGCCTAGAGCGGCTCGGTGTGGCATGGCCCTGCAGGGCTGGAAGAACAAACCACACTTTTAGTTTTTTCATCTTGTTCAGATTTCAAACCGGTCATGTTCAGCGGGGTGGAACGTCTGGGCAGGAGTGTGTAGAAGAGGTGTTGTGTATGTTTGAAGGGGAAGTGTGTTGGAGATGTAGCTTGTGGTGTTTGTGTCTGACATGTTTTTTAAGAGAGTTTTGACTCGCTGAACAAACCTAATGTCCACAAGGACTCAAATCCTGCCCAGATTTTGCCAAAATCTTCCAAAATACAGAATCAAGAACTTAAAAAAAACTGTGATTTTTTCTTGATGAATGCCAAAATTAGCTCATTTAAAAATGATAGTTTAGCAAACTGGTTGGATTTGGTCTTTCTGGACCTTTTTTTTTTTCAGTTTTTTCAGCAGCCTGACTGATACCCACTTGATTTCTTGTGTTACTGACCAGACCAAAATGAGACAACCTCCTAAGAACAGTTTAGCCCATTGCACTACGATTATATGCAATTGTATGTGTTGTTTTGCTGCTAGTTTAACTCCAGCTACAGATAGCTGCATATCCATACTGTATTGTAACATTTACCTTGCCTGTGTACACTGACATAGTATTGCTATATGATTTTAACTCTTGAAAAGATCAATTTTTAAAAAGAAATCCTCCTTAAATACCCATATGTGCCAACTTTGCTGCCCAGTATTAGTCAAGAAGAGCATCAGATCAACAGGAGCTTGTTTTACGTTGTCGTGCCATGCAGCTTTTAACTCACTACAGCAATAACCCTTTTTATTTGAGTTATTTTTAACCTTTCCCGTCATACCTCCCCGTGTTTTTCAATCCGTGTTTCTGTTGCCTTCTCACTGGTGGAAAACATGGTGACTCACGTTTGCATGTTGTTTATGTTCTGTCACTGAGGTGGTGTTTTTTTCTGTTACAGAAAGGTAGCTGAAGCGTATGATGTTCCTATCTTTGCTCCTTCTGCCTGTGAGTTAGAATGTAAACCCTCCTCCTCCTCCTCTTCTTCCTCCCCTTCGCTTATATCGACCGCTGTCTGACCTTCGGTGAACTCTGTGCTAGCTAGCATCGCTATAGGCTAACTCAGCATCCTGTCTCTTGACCTTGACCAGTGGGCACAGTTCAAACTTCTAACCTTTGTTTTGAATGTGATGATGATGATGATGACGATGATGATGATGATGATGATGAAACAGAAAATAATATTAAAAAAACTTTGTACATAGTTCAAATTCAGTACTTGGAGAACTGTAGTGAAAGGTGGAAAGGAGAGGATGGCTCGTGGGTCTTTTTAAAAATGATAATTTATCAATAAAATGTAAAAACTGCCTGTATTGTTCTGTTTGCTTGCTGACTGTGACGTTTCCAAATGACCACATTTAAAGATACAAACAAGGTTCAAACAAACCATAATAGCTGTACACAAACCTTTCACATTTATATGTTCAGCTATCGGCTCCTGGTGCTTAACTACATTTGAGATACTTCTCAATTTCTTTTTAATGCTACTTTATTCTTCTACTTGACTACATTTCAGGGGGAATTCAGGGGTATTTTTTTTCTTTCACTACATTTAAAATCTAGCTACTTTTCAGACTAAAATTGTTAATAATATACAGTATAGTACAGTATAGTACAGTGTTGTATAGTATAGTATATATAATAAGTATTACAGCTGGATTAGCTACAACATTAACATGCTGTTTACATAATAATAATGTGTCAGTCATTATTAAACAATACAAATTATGTAACAGTAGAATGTTTTGAAAGGGACCAATTTTCCTAATGAGGACTTTTAATACTTAAAGTTTTAACACATTTTGCTGATAATATTTAATTATAATAATAGTTTAATTTTAACAGAGTATTTTTGTATTGTTGTACTCAAGTAAAAGATAAATACTTCTTCCACCACTGGTAGTTCCAAGTTCAAATACATAAGGAGCTTTAATTAAGTTTCAGTTCAGTTTCTCGTGTTTTTTCATGCGACACAAGTGTCCTCTATATCTAATATTCATTATGTGCTTAAGCAAAAGATTGGCATTATTATTAAACACATATAGATGTATGTGTTTCAGTTGATAGTTTATCCTTTAAAACACTGTAATTGTGTATTTGCTGGTTCTGTGTCTGGACATTGTGAGATGGTGACATCAACATTACATTGAAATAACAACACAAAATATCAGGAAATAAGCAAATATATAAAGTCAGTAGCATTTTGGAGTGCACCGGTTTTCCTTCAAAGTTTTGTTTTCATTTCTGCTTCAATCGGTCACAATTTGTGGCTGAAAGTGTGTTTCAGTAGTTTCTGTGAAAAATGACGGAGTAGAGAAAAACACTCTTTTACACTTACACACAGTAGCTGAAGGTGAACATCACAAACATCATTAATAGCCAGTATGGCACTGTGACATTGAGCTATTACTCACTCTGTAATGTGGTGAAAAGGGTTAAGGTGAACCTTCATATGTGTTGGTGTGTCCTTGATGTGTGCAGAGAAGGGTGAAGGACAGTCTGCTTCCTCTGTGTTCACACCACACTCTGTTATGTCAGCAGTAGTCTGGGGAAATCTAAACAATTATTTACAGGTTATAAATATGTGAAAGTATCATTTTCCATCATGATTAAATATTAGCTCAAGTTACATATCAATAAACCCAGTTATATATGCTCCTGAGTCTAATGTAATTTTAGAGTATCCGACTTCCTCACTCCTGCTGCTTTGTGTTCATGAGTTATTTTGCAATAAGGTATTGCTTTGCCACCAGGGAAACCAATTAAGCTGTTCATAATTAATTTATACTCAGACAGTCTATATGAATTTCATAATGAAAGCATATCGACTCATAATCCACTTCTGTTGGTTATAGTGTCTTATGTAATGAAAGTCTTTTAATCTATCTCCTTGTTTGGTAGCGCAGGCAGAATAATTACCATCAGTGATGTATAACAACTGAGATCAGTCATTAAAAACAGATGTTTCCTTTTCTTGAAATGACACCAATAACCAACCAGTCAGAGCCCCTTCACACCCATAGCTACAGACACACGGGTGTTTTCATTTATGCTGCCTGATTAGACCTCAGACAGCATACCCTGTCATCAGTGTGATTGATTGTGATTGGTAGACAGTGGAGGTGATAATTTCACTGAACTTTAACCTGACTAGATGTCTAATCAACCAGAAGAATTCAAAACACCTGTTAGATTAACATTTTCCTACTTTTCCATCTACTGCCTAGCAGATTTACTGATTTAACTAATAATAATAAGTCTGCTACAAGAAATATCTTGCTGACATAATTAGTGGTAATTTTTTATTGTCCAACTGAAAGCACCCTGTTCTTTTAGCTGCAGCACTGCTACATGTCCACAAGGTGGGGCCATTGGCAAACAATTGATAAATATCACACTTCAGTGAGCTGTGATTAAGACTTTAAATGTGTGAGTTGTGGTCTTTTACCATAGATATCAGGAGATGAATACATACACCAACAATGAAATATTTGTCAACTATTATTCTCAACATATATAATTTTAGAAAAAGTTAAAAGTGGCTCTACTGACAGAAATGGAAAATAATATTCATGCTGAAACACCATGTTTCTATGGTAGCCCAGAGTAGACAAGCCTTTTTTCACACTTTTCACAGCCACCGTAGTTTCTCCTACACACTCCACAGCCCGTTCTCATCCCCAGGTTGTCAAATACAGACGCGAGTGGTGTTCAGTCTGCAACTTCACTGCTAGATGGCACTAAATCCTACACACCTTCTTTAAATCCTTATCATCTTGACTCTGCAAGTTTACTGGTAGGATTAGGAATGAAGTAGATTAACCATCCAAAAAACTCACAAAACAACAATTGTTCCTGGTCTGTCAAACATTAGAAGGAGATTTGTTGTTTGTAAGATGCAGACAGGCAGACAACTAATAACCAGAGGTAAAAACATGGGGGTAATTTCCACATAAAGAGTGAGAAGAAGATACACATGGCATACACAACAATATATCGTCTTTATTTATGACCAACAGCTTTTGTTATCCAATTTGACACATTAAATACAGAAACAACAGAATGATGGTTTAATGAGCTCCCCAGAGCTGCTACAATTGATACAATTATATCTGTCCTTCCCTCTCTCTCTCTCTCTGTCCCTCATACACACACTCTCTCACACACACATACACACACGCTCTCACACTCACTCACACACACACACACTCTCACACACATACATACACAAACTCTCTCACAGACACTCACACACACACACACACACACACACACACACTGGGAGTAAAGACGTTGTGTGTTCAGTCACATACCTCAGCACACACACAGTAATCTCTCAGGCGTGTCAGTTCCTGTCTCTGGGAGTTTGTTTTGTCGCTGTAATCTGCTCGTTGTTTCCCGCCGCCTGCCAGTCGAGTGTGTGGGCAGAGCGACCTGAGGGCCGTCGCCAACGGCAACAGGCTGACAGACCGAAGCTCAGAGCAGGAAGTAAGAGATGTGACAGCAGAAAGCAGCAGGAGGACGCACGGAGACATCACAGCAGCAGGAGGAATTAAAGGAGGAAGAGAAGGAGGAGAAGGAGGAGGAAGAGAAGGAGGAATATAAACAGGAAGCAGCAGGTAGGAACAGGAAGCTGGAAGCAGGCCCAGGTGTTCAGGCTGTTAAAGGTACAGAGATTACAGTTTTTTTCAATTGCTAACAAGCATTTAGCTAAACTTAAGATACTTTATCAAAACTCTTAACACAGCAACACACCTACCTCACACAATGAGCCAAATAGTACATTTTTCAAAACCACATTTTGTTTTTTTTTTGGCAACAAACTATGAAAAAGTGAATGAGTCATCTTAACTTTATAGAATGTACAGTAGAAAAAAATTGTAAGTGACAAAATTGCAGAAGTTAAAGCTTTACAGTATTATCAACATGAAATTGCAGCCAGTGATCAACAAATA